ACATTGAAATAAAACTTCTTGTTGATCCAACTGGCCTAGTTTATATATCTCCTAGGAGATATAAACAGCCTAGTACCCAAGGAAGAACAGGCTTAAAAGCCTAGTAGACAAGGAAGAAGAACTATAAGTGAATATTTCGAATATACTCAGTCAGTAAAATGTTAGCAGATTGGTATCAGATTGCCAGCAGATTTATCAGAAACCCATACCAAAACCATAATCATCTGTGTCCGCATTTGGCTTTTGTTTTGGCAACAAAGTCTGTAATGTTCATGTAAAACATACACTGTCAACAGATTGTCGGCAGAAACCGAACATCGATGTCTAGTTAAAGATTTTTGTGTATTTTTGCTAATACGCTGGCAACACTTCAAATATATCAATTCCTGTATGCAATCTGCGGTCTTTCTGCCTTCAAAATTTGTAGTGGGTATTTGACAAAATCTGTTCCGACAAATTTGGCTATCTGGGTACTGCGGCTTAAATTATGATAAATACTTTGTGGCACTATATTTCATTCTTTGTGTCATTGTATGCATTGTATAATAATAAAATAAGAATGAAATATAATGCCACCATTTATGTGTACATAAAATTGCGACAAATTCTATATGGCACTGTATTTTGTATGTTTGTATGGAAACTTATAATTGATGTACATACTTAAAAATCAGTATTGCGCGTACATTGCCCAAAAATACAATAGTACAATTGATATCCAAAACTAAACCGTTCTAGACATCATAAAGTATTAACCAATTTTAAGTTTGGCTTGTATGTACTCTCAAAAGGCGCCTACAAATATTTTATTAGATTTATACATTTTCTGAACGTTAGCTGATAAGGTGTTTTCAGGTGCCTTTCTAGAGTACGTACAAGCCAGATTAAAAATTGGTTAATTCTTTTACAAATTATGCTGGTTAGATTAATGTGTTTTACGGCCTCTGAGTACTTACTGCGGTAATGCTGGATCGTGACGTCAGAAGTGAAAAATGACAAGCTGTTGAAAAATAAACGACAGTTGATAACTAAATATGATTCTTAGTCATATGACGTTGTGCATGTGTACTTATGACTAGGAATCATATTACATTCACATTTTTATGGCTGTTTATTAACTGTCAAGAAGAGGGCTATTGAAGTATTTTGAAAATGTGTTAAAACTATCTATATACAATGCCTACCAAAAGTTCCGGGCCACCTAAAAATTTTTTAATGGTTTGAAATATAGGATTGAAATTTATAGGGATACAATGGGGTGACAAAGTCTATTATTTAACAAAAATTATTTAGATGACCCGAAACTTTCGGTAGGCACTGTATATTTTTTCATTCAGATATCTTATTTATTTATAAGGAATTTTCAGCGTGTCATGTCTTGCTTCTGACGTCACGATTTCCAACATGATCGCGGCCAGCCCAGACGTCTTAATTATTGACTGGCGTGTCGCAAAATATTGTCAAGAGGGAGTCGTTATCAAAAGATGGCAAAGTCCCATCTTTTCAACAACAATACATCAATTTTAATCTACAAGATAGCGGAAGAAAATATTACTTTAGATGAGGTCATTGTTAAAATACAAATATTTGCTTACTGAGAAAGTTACATTCGTCTGGCTTTGACAGATTTTTATAAAATGATAAAACAGCTTTTTCTCTAGACGTATACGCCAAATCTAACCTTGGTTACTCTTTCTTACGGCATGTATTATAAGCTAATTAGCTCTTACAAATCGTAGCTCGCATAAGAAAATTTTTTATTGTCAAAAAGCGATGATCTTATTGACGCAGAAAGAAACCGCCTGAAGCTCTAAAGGCTCGTCTATCAGTCGGAAAACATAGTCGTGAACACACGTGATTTGTACGTATAAATTGTCGCAAAATATTGTCAGGAGCCGGGCATCGTTCAGAACATGGCTAAGACCCATCTCTTCGACAAACAATACATCAATTTTAATTTGCAAGATGGCGGAAGAAAATATAACTGTAGATGAGATCATTATTAATATTGTGTGAGACGATCAATTTCTTCGCGATAAAACGGACGTTCATTGTAAAATCGACAATAAAAAAAGGATATATGATTTTACTGAACAACCCATGATCAACCACCGTAAAGCCCGTATCAGACTACAGATTGAGATTGAGATTAGATTGAAATTTGACCAATCAGAGTAAAATTCAACTAAACTTGAGATTAGTAAACTTTACTTTGATTGGTCAAATTTCGATCTAATCTCAATCTCAATCCGTAATCTAATACGGGCTTAACATAGCTCGATTTGAAATTAGTCGAACAAGTGACTACGAAATATGACAAGCGACATTAGATAAGAGTCTTCCGACTTGGAAACGAGGCCTAACATGTAGTCGGTATATGCTGCTATATAATAGGTCTTTGTAGCTAATATACACAGCAAAACATTTGTGATGATGTACAGATATTACGATGTTCAACAATCGCCGAGACATAAGATACTGGCGCATCCCTGGTAAAAATTCCGTTAGAAACGGATAGAACATGCATTAAATTCTATCTGTTTCTGACTGTTCTACTATGCGTTTTCGCGAAATGGAATTTTTACCAGGGACTGAGACATTTACCTGAAGAATAGATAACCCTGTCAATCGACTTAGCATCACTTTCTGTTCTTCACTCGGATAGGCACAATATCTATGGTCGTACAGCCACTGTTTTAGAATCATTACCGCTGCTTTTGGCAGGTTACCCCGACGTTTGGTCTTAGTTGAATCACATAAAGTAGTAGCGCATCGCTGCTATATAATAGGTCTTTGTAGCTAATATACACAGCAAAACATTTGTGATGATGTACAGATATTACGATGTTCAATCGCCGAGACATAAGATACTGGCGCACTAGCTTATTGCACAAGAAAAATAACGAAGGAAACTAACTAATGAAGCTGACAAAATATAAATGAAAAAAGTAGAATTCATTTGTATTTCCACTTCATGAAATTTATCAAAACATGAGATGAAACCTTATCTTGTGCCTAAACAAGTCATTATTTTTAATTATGGAGACAATAATTAATATTTCAAATGAGCAATTCCAAAAACTCTTGGAATATAAATTTCATTCAAGTCCAAGAAAATTTTGCATTTTAGTTCGCTATATTGGACTACACAGATTCATAATCGGCGACATAAAAAATCTTCATAGTAAGTTGTATACAAATTATTCCTACAAATAAGTTATGGTGGAAGGGTTAAAATGACAACTTTTATTAATTGATTCGACTTTCGGCTTAAAACCAAGGATTAGGTTTACAAAATTTATAAAAGTTTAACTTTTACAAGAAACTTCGTTCCTTCGTCATTTTTCTTATGTGATGAACTAGTCATTAGGAATTCATTGAAATTATTTTTTTTACTTGTGTAAATATGATCCCAGCTCTCGAGGAAAGCGAGCCGAGTCATACACGACGAGTCTTCTCAATTCAATTTTTCAATTTTTTCTCTTCAATTAACGCGAAAAAATTTCTGTCGGAGACATCGCGTATTCTCTTAGACACCAAAAATACATTTAAAAAATATATGTTTACAATTTGACTCATACCGTAGATTAACAATTAAATGTTAGACATGTTTTATAATACATCCCGGGAGCACATTAATTGAAATCAATTGTCAGTAGCAAGTGAAATTGTGAAGCGAACTCTTTATCGAGATTACATTTCGATCAAGGTTCTACAACAGCGCGATCGCGCATTTTCTACATCATGCAATTGTCATCACCCGGCAGAATATAAGACACCACTTTCACATTAATTATTAATCAACGATTGACACACATGATGGTCATAGAAATTCCATGGATGCTCGTTGAGATTGAAATACAGATAGATTTTAAGATTTTTGTTGTAAATTTTTGTATAGTGTATTGAATGAGAAAAACGGGCACTTACGATATCATCATATTTACACGAGGAAAAAGGAAGTCCAATTCTTGAGAAAATGTAAAGTCTTCGCAAGTTAAAATTGCGTGTTAAATTCTTACACATTTTTAGATACTTTATATAGAAGATATTCCCTGAATAAGATAGGAGAAGTATAAAGTATCACATGCATAAGAAAGTTAATAATATTTTAATGATCAATTTTAATGTACGCAATTATGAACTAAAAGACATCCATCGTGATTTTGGACGTCTTAAAGGCACAGTAATTTAGGTACATTTTGTATGATAGAGTAGAATGGTCGTAGATCGATCTCTCCCACAATACAGTAAATCCTGCAAACACTTAATATATAATGTAGTAACAACGGACGTTTTAAAAAGAAGAGTTTAAGACACTTTATTCGTTAATTGGCAGTATTAAAGTCTCTACTTTGAATTTGAATGATAAATACAACCGAAAAGTCTTTGGATCGTTCGTGGCAGTTTATTACAGATATCAAAATAATTTTTCCAAAAATCTGATTCTGATCCCTGAAGTTTCCCTGAAGTCTGTAACAAACGGACAGTCGCAATGAGATCGAAGATTTTCTCATCCAAAATGCCAAGAAAGTGTTACGAATGATTTCAAAGGCTTTTCGGAGTCATTTATGAACGACAAAGGGATAACAATATCAATTATCATTTTAATATCAAGTAGAGCTCGACAGAATTTTAATTCGTGATTTATTTCGAATTAAGATCGACGAAATTGATTATCGTATGGGAGGATCGAGATAGATATTAAATATTCCTTTCCATACTACAATAACTTTGTGTCATATTAAAATAAACTTTAGTTGTATAGTTAACAACTTGTCTATGAACACTTGTCTATGAACAAATACATGGGTTTTCATCTCTTCTGTTGAATGTATATTATTAATTAGTACTAAAAAATAATATTATTCTTTGGTTCGATTTTCTTTCAATTTCAAGAAAATGTGTATCATTTATAGTAATGTACGGTTTTATACTCAAGATCGTTTTATATACAAATACAATCTCGAGACTCCGTACTTTGAAAAGAGACGAAAAGTACGAGAACACGATTTATTAGAAAATGCAATATCCTGTATACAATATTTTTCGCGCGCGTTTATTAAAACTAAATGCGAATCGCGACGGCAATAGAAAAAAATCTCAACGCTGTATTTAAACGTTCATGAAACATAATAAAATTCAAGAACAATGTGAACAAAAAAACTGTTAAATGTTATGAGCAGAATACCAAAATTAAAATAAAGTACTAGTACAACCGCGTCTCGTTGACATCATGTTCATAGTTATTAGTGTTTCATTCTAAATGATTGTGGTACCTAAGAATTTCAAAAATCGAAATTCTTGTCTTCAGCCTTTACTCCAAAACTTCATTAATTCAATAATTAATTAAAAATTCTATTTTTATTGTAAAAAAATAGCGAGACAAAAATGTTCTCCCCCAAAAATTAAAAATTATTACTTACTCAAATAAATTCGTAATTGTTTGATAAATTAGTGTTATTCCGTGATATTAATGGTGTGAGTGAGATGATATGATTATTGTTTAGCGATTTGTATAAATGTAACAATTTCTAACAAATGTAATAATTTGCTAGTTTTAACAGAAATAATATGGGATGGTAATTGCTTTAACAATTTATATGAATATGTATGAACATGAATTTATATAATTTATATGAATGCAATAGTTTTAAAAAAATATAATTTGCTGATTTTTTTGGAGGGAATTTTTTGCCTGAGTTGCCTTATCATTATCGTTTCTTTCTTATCAACGATAACAATAATTACAATACCGAACACCTTAATTTAAAAAATTTTCCAATGGTGGTGGCGAAGATATCGATGGAGTAGAAGACGAAGAATGTCGTGGTGAAGACGTTTCGGATGACGGGGACGCTGGTTGTGGAGAAACTGACGAAGACTTCGGCGTATTCGGCGACGAAATATCTTCACTCAAACCCACAGCGAGTTCTACGAGCATGCCGAGGGAGTTACCCTGTTGCGCGTGAATATAGGCTCTTTCTAGATGTTCTGGTGGGCCGGTATATGTGATTACATGCTGAATCTGATGTTGACGTGGAGCGCTCCAATATTCAGATTCTCTGGAGTTGAGGCTATAAAAAAAGAAGAAAACATCTTTAATTTATTATTCTTAAAATTTTAAGCCTGTGTCTGTTTTACAACGCCATTTATAGTGCCCGGGCAGACATAATCAGAGGTCGATCCCTTCGGCGGGAGGGAAGGGACTGCTCAGGCAAAGGGAAAAAAAGCTACGAGGATTTCGTGTAAAAAAAAAAGTGTACCTTTAGAATCGGCAGGAACTCTAAAAAAAACTTATGTTATTTGGAAACGTTCAACTGTCGTTTTCTCGATGCTATACATGATTCTCTCTTCTTAATTTTCCTTTAAGATTACTTTCCCAATTATTTTATTGAGCTAGAAAAAAACTGTTGAACATGATAGTGAGTGTGTCGAATGTTTTGTTAGCTCTGTGTTCTGTGCTTCTATGTGTTCAAGATTGTTAGAAGGCGTTTAACAGGCTTACAATAGTTGCAAATCTCCCCATTAATTTTTTCGGTTAAATGCAACTATTGTTCAACACAATTAATTAAAAAACGTGCCTTCGTCGATCACACAGTTGAGTGGTAGCGTCACCGTCTATTAACTCAAATTGAGGTAGACTGTAATGGTGAACGATTACGTTAGGCCACCTTATCGTAGGGTGTTCCATATCGCCATGGTAGCTGTTCGGACTGCTGTCGTAATTGTTCGGACTCTCATCATTTCTGTGTACGTAAATCTCGATTAATAAATCTAATTTTACACAATTAATCTAACTTCTCTTATTATTTAATTCTACAAAAAAAAGCTAAGCTCATTATTTATTTAGCATAATAACCAATTAGTTAATAAATAGCTAAGCAATCTTTTCTTTTGAGTTTTTGTGTAAGTTGATCAGCACCATTATAATCCTCAATCAGTATTTTTCATTCTTAAGTTTGTAAGAATAATGAAATAGTAAAAAAAATTAATGCAGATAGGAATATTTACCTATATGAGGGCTGCGGCAAATCACACAAACTGTTACATTCTGCTGGTATCACAGAGCAACAAGTATCCGCAATTACTCCAAGGGGCGTTCTTCGCCCTCGAATTGGACTGCCAGAATTCGGACGACGGGCACGGCGCGAAATTCTATACTTCATAGGATCATCTCCTGCCTTTTGCAGGATGGCAGGTAGAAGACGGCGCCTAGCGTTTATAAACCAGTTGCAAACCTGTAAAATTCAATACCAGTAATGTTGTTAGCAAAATAATACAGACTGATCGATAAAAGGATAATCAATAAAAGTCAATTTGAAGACAGCACGCGTATCTAAAAGATGTCTTAAAGATGTCCTTCTGATAACTTTATAAAACATCTGAAAAATTTTAAGACATTTTTTAGATATTTTCTGAGATGCTTTAACTGGGAATTACTAATCATGCATTAATTGATCAATTTATTTACTAATGCCCATCTGAAGCTGTGAGGTGGACAGTGAGAAAACAGCACTTTTATATAATAAAAAAAAAGAATATTATCATATTGGTAAAGAGTATAGTTGTTTATTTATGCAGAAACGTTAAGTATAAACTTAATTGTTTAAACAAATTGTATTGTTTAACGAAAAACTTGACGACAATTACATAAGTAAAAATTGAAAGTTAATAATTGCAATTGGTGGCGCTGTATGCGAGATGAAAATTGGTTTCACTGGCGAAAAACAATTATACAGAAACAGATTAAACTAGTTTGTATTGACATCTTTGATATTACTCCTCAGTGTGTCTCACAATCAGTCTACACGAATCTGTAGAGTGTATAGTACACAGTATAGTGGGTTCCCCAGTATACTGGGGAAACCACTTAAAAAAAAACGCATCAATTATAGTACCTCCTAGGTGACGTGGAAATCTATTACTAAAAATATTCTCGTCAATGTAATTAATATTCGAAAATTAAAAATTTCTCATTGAAATAATTATTTAAAAAGATGTTAACCATATCACGTTTTAGAAACTGACATTTGGCAGTCAAGGGGCACGCAACGGCGTTGGATTACCGATACGTCGTACCTGAAGCTGAGCGTCGCGCGCTTGGTTACGGTTGTTTAATGACTGGAGTAGGGGGTGATAGGCGGTGCCTCGCGAAAATTGGCCGAAATGAGCAGTTCGTGGACAGCTCTGACTTACAATATTAAAAAATAAACTCTGATCATCGTTTAATTTATGAAAATATTTCAAGGAATTGTAACTCAATTGCGCAGAGCATAGCGAACATATTAAACATTTTGTAACCTTTCAACTAAAGATAACTAATAACAAACATTAAGATGCTGTATGGAACATTTAATTGGTTAGAGTATCTAAAGGTGATCTTAAGACTGTCTTATATATAAAGACCTAATTGTGGCGATCGTGGCGCAGAGGATTGTGCGCTGGTCTGGTAATCCGAAGACCTGGGTTCAAAACCAAACGAAACATTGTTGGTTTTTCGTTCGATCGCCACATATAGAAGTGGATATAGAGAGAGGTGTTATAAGAGGTTTGGGCACGTTCCTTCAAAAACACCTTGTAACCCTAAGGGGAATTAATAAAATGTATGATGATGATGATATAAAGGCCCAATTATGAATATCCTAAAATAATACTTGTACAATATTTCATTACGTGATAGCTCTCTATACAAAGTTATCGAACATACACTATTATGCCCCGTGGTCTTGATATGCCCCAGGTTCCTCTACATATGTTAATGTATTTTTAATAACAATGTACCAGCGAGATAAGGGAATATAAAAAGAACATTTACCTGAAGATTAGATAGTTCTGTCAATCGACTTAGCATCACTTTCTGTTCTTCACTCGGATAGGCACAATATCTATTGTCGTACAGCCACTGTTTTAGAATCGTTACCGCTGCTTTTGGCAGGTTACCCCGACGTTTGGTCTTAGTTGAATCACGTAAAGTAGTAGCGCATCGGCTGGCGCGACTCACGTTGGGAGACACTCGCGGCGATGTGTTCTCCTCTTCCGATTCATTGTCGGTGACGTTCCGAGTATTACGTCGTCGTCGGTACGCATGGGGTGCTACAACAAAGAAAGACAACTGTTTAATATAAGTTGTGAGATTGCCGGCGGTTGGAACACAATGTGTAACATGCTGCCGCAACGCGTGTTCATGCTTTTTCGCAAGTACACGTTCAAAAAAAATTAAACTTGGTTTTCCTCCGTTAGGGGGAATGGGATCAGGGGGAGGGAAGGGGAAGGGAAAGGGAAATTCAAAAATCGCGTATCGACAAGTTATTGTGCGGTTGACAATCCGTATCGACGCACAGTTTTTGAAAAAGTCGAAATAGACGCGCACAGTAAAAAAAAAGTGTTAATGGTAACATTTTTTTACATGTCCCAAAAGTCCACTCTAAATTTTAAGTTAAAATAACATTTATCGCGTGTGTTACTTTTTGACAAATTATAAATGTTAATTAATCAACGTTGTATTTCACATTTATGTTTTTTCTACCTTAAGTGTGATGTAATAAAAACAGACAGGATAAGTAAACTGTACGAGTAGTTACAAATCAGAATAGTTGAAATAATTTTTAAAAAGTGTCGATATTACACGTTTTGGTTAATTTTGTGAAACAGTTGTGTTAAAAAAACTCAAAGTAATATT